CGGTCGAGGGAGAAAGAGATAAAAGATTTAACAATCCACGAAGCGAAACTTTTGCTAGGTAGTAGGAATTTGGTTTCGTGGAATGTGGCGCCACCAGTGTTCATCAATGAAACTACGAAACTCAACAGCGGTGAAGGTATCCAAAATCATTACTTGATTGTAAAATTGATAATAGATGGCGCTGTCCATGAATTAGACACGTAAGAATTAAACACGTTCCGAATCCTACAAGTACCTGTTGTGGACACGAGATGGTGTTGGTTAATAAAAAGTAGGAGAAGCAGGTATACTTTACATAATACATAGCCACAGAGTACCTTTGTATAAACTGTACATAGCATACTTGTTATTATCATGACAATGTATTAGCTTGTTAAAAATTAAAGTACACCCAAAAATGTAGTCGGAATAAGAAACAAAAACAATGAAAATGAAAAAGACAAAATTGTTTGACAACCTAAAGGTTCTTGATGATCGATATTAATTCAGACAATTCAGAGATCATGCAAATGTACATAAAAAGAAACCACAAAGGAATTAAAGTGGTTAGTTCAACATGGTATCTCTACGCTTAATAGCTTATTCAATTATTTTGACTAAACCCTTTTGCGGTCCCGTGAAGGTACTAGATATAGGTCATTGCTATTGTCTTACTAGGTACGGTTACGTAGAATATAATTTATTCCGTGCTACTGTGTCTTAAAATCGTCACATAATGAAATAACGACAGTGAAAGTGTTAAGACTGCTGAATCCTAATGACAGGGTGAGAAATTGTGTGATAAGAGAAGAATGTGGTTTGAAAGATGATGTTGTGACCAGGATTAAGAAAGGAATGCTTCGGTGGTTTGGTCATGTAGAAAGAATGAATGAGTATTGCAGAAGTGTACGGAAGAGTCGGGAAGGGACGCCTTAGGCGAAAGTTTAGTGAAAAAATTGGCAATATATTGAAAATGGGCCAAATTTACCTTTAATAGAGCATACAATATGTAGTTATATGGATGTGGAGGAGGCGAAAGCTACGTGTGTCAGGATCGTGCCAAATGGAAGTCTGCAATCACTGCCTATACTTCTGGATGACAGGCGTGAGATTATGTTAACTTAAGGTTACTTACTTAATATGATGTCAGTGCAATTCTTGTCTGAAGAAACTACTGCGAAAAGTGAACACAAAACGCACTACAATATTATGTGGCCGATCAGAACAAACAGTACTTAGTTCTGTCACTCTGTCTAATTTTATATTTGTCCTAGACATCCTTAAGTTGCACTTCGAGTGCGGGATGAATGAAAATGCGGAACAAAGAACAAGATCTTTTATTCCTTAGTATTCTGAATATTTATTATACCTTTAATTTAATAGTCGATAAATTTAATTAAGTAGTGATAACTTTTCTAGCAAATTTACTATGAAATATGCTTTTTTAACTTAATTATTTAAATATAACTATTTGTTAAAACTTGTTATGTAATAGTAACATGTTTTAAGTAAATGATTACTTAAAACATGTTATTATGTTATGTTAGGTTCGAGCGATACAATAATGCAATCCCGACATTAAGAAACTTATTTAAATATTACATTAAATGATAATGGTCATAAGTGGTAAGTGGGATCCTTGGGGAACAACTCATTTTAATAGATAACAATTAAATTGTTAAGTGACAAATATTTATAACCTATCCAAGTGTGCACCTTAGCATTCTTCCTATATCGCGATTTCCAGTACTAGTATGTTTTCTATTTAATTTGTCATTTTAAAATTAAGAATGAAAGTTGGAATGGAACAAAAAGTATTCTTAGCAGGTTAATCGTAACTGTTTAAAGTATAAAAAGGATGACACTAGAAGAATAATCCCAAAAAGTCCAATTTTTGATCTGTTTTAATGCAATGTTTATATAATGCAAAGGGATAAAAGAAAAAGACCATTGTATGTTATTTTTCTTTGGATTTATTTCTTCAATATTTAATTAGCACCAGGAACATATGATTTTTTTAACTATTTCAATCATGTTTTTCTTAAATAAGATACTTATGTGTATATTTTTAGATAGTATTACAAAATACACAATGGAATAAAAAAATATACAAAAAATATTTTTATAAATCTAAGTAATACTCACAGAAATCGTAAAAATAGACCAAAGACTATATAACCACCAACAGTGGTTATATTCTCTACGTAATAGACAAATGAAGCCGCATAGACGCTTGAGCTTGTCGCCGCTTATTAGGTTGACGAACATAATTCACCATTTTGTGATTAAGTTGTGCGGGGAACGTCTAAACTGAATTTTTGTTATTATAAATTTATAATGGTGCACTGCAGCATAATCAGTTGTAAAAACTCATCAAGGACGTGTAATTCAACTAATAAAGGCATAACATTTCATCAGTTAGTTGATTGTTTACTAATTATCATTGTTTTAATTAATTTACGTCTAGAAGAATACTTTACTATGACATTTACCTTTTTAAACTTTTCGTATTGTACAATTACCGTTGCTGCTTTTGTTCTACCATAATACGCGACACACGTGACGTTGACAAACTCGCCAAGCAATGTAATATGAAACATTAGATATCATTGTGCATTGCGTATGTTTATAATACGGTAAGATGTAGCGACATCGGATTTGGAAGTAATCGAGCGCTAATTCATTTCTATTGTCTATTACGATTTCTGTGGTAATAAATATAAAAATACACAATATGTTAAATTGCTCCATTTCTGAGCGACAAACTCTCGATATCGAACGAATAGATTAGACTACTTATATTTCAAATACAATATATTATGATGTTGGGAAAAATGTTTGTACTGAGACTGCTAAAGGGCATAAGTTGTTTTTGCGAATTACGAAATACACTAGATGTGTAAAGCAGAATACAGTCCTTTGTCGTTACGCCCTATGTGAAGCTTCCTCCGGTATATACCTAGTGTAAAAATATCCGTACCAATCTTGAGAGATTTTTACTGGGGAAGGAAGACAAAAACGAAGGGGTTTTTCATCTCATACACTGGTACAACACCAGTTCGATTGCATTGGGTAATAAAGCTTCGGAATATGCCGAATGCCAATACGCTGAATGGTACAAGAGCCTGCTAAGAAAATTAATGGTCACGAACCTCAATGAGGGGACGACAAAAGAAGTAATAGAGAAAAATCTTTACTTGACCCAACCAATTTTAAATGTTCTGGTGACTGATCTAAAAAACAATCAAATATTTCGAACCAAGTGAAGGCTATTGGCTCTAAGTACAATCTCCAACTCCAATATTCTCAATCAAAAAGCCCACGGGCTGATGAACACGAAGCAGTAATTTACTTCAAACAGAGAAACTAGCCATCTCCGCAGGCCAGAATTATATTGCTCGAGTTTATGCGCAAACACAGATAAACTCTCTTTTCCTTTATTTTCATAGTTTGATGGGACGGTTAACTGACACGACCGGAGAGATCAGGCACAGAAACAGTGGCTTTCCGTATTTTACGGGGCAGAGGGGTGTAACACCGCCAACTTCCTGACTGCTGGAATGAGAATTCTTGAAAACTGAGAATTTCTTGACAGAAAAACCTAAAAACTGATTTTGGCACGTCCCCGGATTCAAACCCAGGACCTCATAATCAGCAACCGTGTTTACGACTACTATACCAACGAGGCAGTAAGAAGCAGTATTACTAATGTAAATCTACTTCGAATCGAATCGAATCGATTTACAGCTTCACATGATAATTCTATGGGTAAAAAATATTTGAAAAAATGGGTCCTTATATCGACGGAGAAAATAATTAATTCAAACAAGCACTTGCTGCATAAAACATAATACGCGAACAACCACGTTTCGTTCCAACCCGCCAATGATATTGTTACAATTTGAAGTGCTGTTATAACACGTGATCGACGGTGAAGAAAAAAAAGGTGGAAAGACTGGCAAGTCTAAAAAAACGGGTTATACCGTTTATCCACCCTATGGAATCCAACCTAGGGTGGATACTCGGGAACGCGTGTCCGTTTAGTACTCTTATTAGTTTGTGGTATCCGTCTATCCACGCCAGACGGGGTGGATAATCGGAAATCGTATACATTATTTTTTTACGACTTTTCACCTCGGCTTTATATAGTCATTTGTAGAAACATAAATATAATCTGGCACGAGATGCTTAGTAGACGTTACCTAAAAATATATACATACTTCTTGTTTGAAAGGTCAACGTTGAAATAAAAGGCCTCACAGGATTACGTATTCATTGCAATTCTTCGAATAAAATAACTTAAAATAAAGTTAAAGAAAAACTTCCAATCACAACGTTTTTGAAATGCTTGTTGCAAAAATCGCCCAAATCTTCGCCAACACATCTGTTAGCTAAGAAATTTAAAACACGATTGTAAATTAATGTACATTAAAAGTGGCGAATTTATCCAGGATATCAAATTACGTCTATTCCATAATGAAATTAGAGTTAGTAATTGTCTGGACATACTGCAGAATTTATAAATTACGCAATAATATTATTTAAAACGAGGTAGTTGAATATGATTTAAATGCAATACGTAATGCGTGAACTTTGTTAGGCTGTAACAGTAACGGCAACAGGAATAAGTTTTTTGATTAAGTTTGTGGTTATTAAAAATTAATTAATAACTAAAGTATATGTGTTGAACTGTACTTGGTGTGAAAAGTCGGAAGAACAAATAGAAGTGAATTCCGACTATCCACCTCGTCTGGGGTGGATAGACGGACATGCGTTTCCGAGTTTCCACCCTAGGGTGGATGAACAGAGTAACCCAAAAACATAATTTTCGAGAACATGTAAATTCCTCCAAAGCGCACTTGAACAACGCGGCTGACTTATTGCCACATAGTCTCCTCAAAAATGAAAGGAAGCCAAAGGTTATAACATACTATCTTAGCAAACTAAATACGTCATTACTCAATTTGAACTCATTAGATATAAAACAACTTTGTTATTAACAAATTTCATGCTATTTTTTTTCAGACTCTAACTATGATTTCTTCCAGGGGTTTTCTTTGTACATCCGGAACTGTAGCTTCGCTGTGCGGTCTGCCAACTGGGAATAGGAGTTCCAGCCGTTCGTTCCCGGGTCTTGATAGGAGATCACGTAGTCGCGAGTTGCAGTTTAGTGGCGTAGAAGTTAGTGCTACTAGACCACAATACTGGAAAGGAAAATGAATTCTAATAATAATATGTTCCACCTTGATAATAATTGTTCTCTATCTGCCGTTCGGCCTTAAAAACCCAAATAAATAATATTTTAGTAATAATTGTGAATATATATCTAATATAAGAATATTTCTCTTTTCCTAATATATGGAATATATATATATATATCCAAAGTAAGTTGACACATCGTTTTTATATTTTACTACAGTAGAGATCAAATTTACGCTTTACAATATTAATGATGTACATTACTATATAACAAATGAATTTAACAAACATAAAATTTGAAACCTATGTGATATGGGAATGAGTGTGTATAACTTTAAGCTCTTTTACTGCTCTTTTGAATATCCTGTATCTTAGGTCAAAAATATCCAAGTCGGAGTCTTTCATGGATATCTCGTTGTCAAGTAAACACATTTTTATTATCGGGTTGTAAAAAGAAGTACTATTCTTATAAGTCTGCAAGTAAAATGTGTTGCTAGGAATTCGGAGATTGCGCTTTGTAATTAAGTTTAATTTACTTAGGTACTAGTAGGTACCTATTTGTTACCCTGCTTGGTGCTTGTACTTATGATAGTTATCGTCGACCTGCTTATAATATACAAAACTATGTATGTTCTCAGTGAGACAGTTTAAAAGGAATGTAATATGTATTATTTTACTTTTGTTTTTTTTTTAAATGATTCGTTTCTGTTTTGTTACTTATAAAACAAATAACTAATGACGTCATCAAGTTCATATTATTTACCTACGTCTTACGGTGGCGACCGGTGACGTATGAAAACGCATCCTACTTAAAAAGAAGTTTTCTTCCTCGCACAACTTTCTTGTGGGATCGACTAACCGATACGGCTTAGGGACCTTCAAGAAAGGAGCCTACTCCCTTTTGAAAGCCCTGTAACGCATCTGCAATTCCCCTGGTGTTGCAGTTGTACATGGGCGGCCGTGAGCCGTATTCTCGTTTGCCCCCTCTCCTATAATTTTTTTTTGTCGAGAATGTGTCGTAAGAGGTGACTATCACGTAAACCAAAAAGATCTCATAGCTTCTGATAGTCCGTCGGTGTCGTAAAATCGTCAATCGTCGATCTTATGGCTTCCGATAGATGGCGTTATAAATGTCATTTAACGCCAGGGGTAAATTACCCGTGTAACGGTGTAAGAATATCCACTACCCCGGGTCACGCCGTGCGTGTCGTAAGAAGCGACAAAGGGAAACAGATCAGGAGATAGCTAGCAGCATCTCTTAATAACGACTAAAAATAAAGACTGCGGTTGCATCCCGCTTGCCTAACGTGACAACTGTGTCAAATATCCCCCTATGCGACAATCTACGGGGGAGGCTTATGTTCAGCAGTAGACTTCAATAGACTGTAACGGTAACGGTTGAATACCCATCCAGTGACCGGCGACGGAGAGGAGTGTCAAGGGTTGTCGACGGCTGGCTCTGCTATCTTCAATCAAATCAAGCGTGAAAATTAAGGCATATTCACAGAAATCGTAATAATAAGACCATAGAAGTCGCATAGATGCATGACTTTGTCGCCGCTTTGATGTGTTGACGAACATCATTCACCATTTTATGATTTAGTTGCGCGGGGAACGTCGTACGAGAATATATGTTATTATAATGGAGAATTGCATTATAATCAGTTCTAAAAACTCATCAAGGACGTGTAATTCAACTAATAAAGGCATAACATTTCATCGGTAAGTTGATTATTTATTAATTATCATTGTTTTAACTAATTTACATCTAGATGAATACCTTACTATGATTTTTACCTTTGTAAACTTTCTTTTATTTCTTTTATTGTAATACGCGACGCACGCGACGTTAACAAACTCGCCAAGCAGTGTGATGTGAAACATTAGGTATCATAGTGCATTGCGTATGTTTATGATAGCATATATATATATAGCATGTGTGTATAATGCAGGCATTGCTAAGATGTAGTGACATCGGTTTTGGAAGTAACCGAGCGCTAATTAATTTCTATTGTCTTGTTACTACTATTTCTCTGGGCATATCCTCTCTAACAAAAGAGGTCCATGTCTGGCAGTGGACTTTTACGTGGTGATGAAGAAAAAGAAATTATGCTTACAAAAGCTGAAAATAAAAATGTGTCTTAAAATTAGGATTACTTAAGAAATTTTTAATTTAAGGTGCTGGCGATTAACCAGTCAATGTTCATCGCATATTACAAAATAAGATAACCTGGTCGGTTTTTTACATGGTATAGCCACGCTGCAGCAATATTATAGTTGTAGCACAAATAGGCTATCTTGACCGGCGAAGGACCACGGTGTCACCGAATACAAACGGCAAATTGCAGCTTAATGCTGCTGTGCTTTGTGTGGTGAATGTAGAGAACCGGATAGCCTTTTTACTGTAAACGAGGCATCCATAGTAGTCCTCTTAACTGAGGATAGATGTAAGTGCGCCACATCCACTTACCATCAGATGGACTGTGTGATCGTTTGTCACCCTTCTTCTATAAAAAGATTACCTGGATAGCAGCCAACAGGATACCAGCGGCAATCGCCACACTGATTTCACTGTAATAATGCATCTTCTTTCTCCCGTCTTGCCTCCAGGAGTGTGTTTGTCGGAAGATCAAGATAAGAGCTGGTGCGTCAGTTAAATATGGCTTTGTTGGTTTGGTTGCAAACGGTTTTAAGTCTGTAACCCACTGTCTCGACATTCTCTTGGAGTAGTTCAACTCTTCCTCTTCTTCTACGATGTTCCTTATTGCCGTTTTTGTTTCTTGATCTTGGACAACTACGAAAGTCCAGGGTTCAGTGTGTGCCCCTGATGGGGAAGTACCTAGAAGACAATTACATCTGTTTGTGAGCTTATTTAGTACCTATGTTGTAAGTTATTTTTAAATCTAAAATATGTCTTACCAGCAGTTTTAATGATATTATCCAGAACCTCTTGGGGTATTGGTTCTGTACTAAACCTCCTTACAGTCCGTCTCTTCGCCATTAATTCGTAATACTCCCGTGAGCGTTGTAGGACTTCCTCATCGGATCTCTTCAAGGGCTCATACGGTATGTGAGGTGTGTCTTCTGGGATCGCCGGTACAAGGAGGTCTGGATCGTCTTCATCGTTTGGGTAGTCCTTCTCTGGAAAGAATCAGGTTTTATATTAATGTCTTAAGGCGACAATGCAGAAATTGTTAACCTTTTTGATCTTTGGTTCTACTTAAATTAAATTATTATGCAAAAACAAAATAATTTAATCGGGAATTAAAAATAAATATGAAATAAACGCAAAAACGTAAATTTATTTTACAGTGTAGTGTTCACGTACATACAGAAACATACAAACAGTATACAGTAGTACCTACATACAGAACCTACATACAGAAAGTGTTAATTGCAATTTTAAGTGCTGATTTACCACGTGCTCGGCGGTAAAGGACAACATCGTGAGGAAACCTGCATGTGTGAGGAATAATAAAAAAAATTATTTCGAAGACATGTGAAGTTCGCCAGCACGCATTGGGGCAGCGCAGCGGACAATTCATTGCCCTAAAACCCTCTCAGAAATGAGGGGAGTCCTGTGCCCAGCAGTGGGACGTATATAGACTGTAACTTTACTTTACTTTACTAAACCAACAGATACGAGTTGTATGATGATTTGAATGACTTGAAATTGGCTCGATGATAAATACATAAAATGACACTAAGTAGCTATTATAAACGTGTACCCCTGCATTGCAGAGATTTCATTTTTATACCAACATAAAAGTCATTTCCAAGAGGGTTTTAGGGCAATTAAATGTCCGCTGCGCTACCGCAGCCAGTGCATGTTGACGGACACAACATCTTTGATTTTTTTTTTCTTAACTTATCAAACACGTTTGTTTCCTCAAGATTTTTGCCATCACCGCCAAACACATGGTAAATCAGCACTTAAAACTGCAAATAACAATTAAAATATTTATACACGTTAGAGCCACGTTGCAGCTATATTATGGTTGTGGCACGAATGGGTCGGCTCGACCGGGGAAGGTCCACGCTCTTACAGAAAAACAACGTAAATTAGCAGTTTAATACTGCTATGTTTCGTATGGTGAGTGTAGAGATCTGGAGACCCTTTTTTACCGGAAACGAGACATTCCATCTTAGTCCTCAGGGGTGATAACGCATCTGCATTTTGATTTTTAATCGAGGATAAATGTAGATATCTATGAGCCACAGAATTCACTTAGCGTCAGGTGAACTGTGTGCTCGTTTGTCACCCTTATTCTATAAAAAAATTAATTGATACCGGCGGGAATTGAACCCGGGTTGCCCGCGCACTATGATATTTCGCTGAGCCAGCTATCACGGCTATTACGGTTGACTTAAATAATCACAATAAAAAAAAGAAGAAACATATATGTGTTCATTGCTGCAACTTACTTTTAAAAAAAGAAAAAAGTGATAGAAAATATATGGTTTGCAGCAACAACTCCCACCGGACACAGCATAATGCTGCAGTAACAGAGTTACTGCAGCGCTGATATTCTCTCGAAGCCACATAATTTAACTCGCGAGCAATCGCTGAACATAATTTATTACCTACTTTATAACAATCACTGAATCGGCGAGTCATGCTCTTCATCTCACGCCCTAACAGTGATCAACCAATTACTGGTCCCCTTTCCTATGTTATCACGTTGGGTCGGGACGCAACGCAGTGGGCGTAACCCCTGATAAGACGTTAAATTCAGAACCATAACCACCCTCTCAAAAGAAGGTGATTGACGACTAAGATTACGGGCCCCAGTGAATGGTACCGGTCTAGATATCATACATGACTTTAGTGGACTATATATAATAATAATAATAATAACTAAATATCTGGACCTGGCTCACGAGGTGACCGACATGTGGGGTGGTCTGCCGACCGAAATTATTCCTGTAGTCGTCTCTGCAAACGGGCTAATCCCAGTCAGCCTCTCGGGTCATCTGAGGCGGCTGGGACTAGGTTGCGGACCGCTCCAGGCTCAAATGCAGAAGGCGGTGCTCCTCGATACCGCCCGCATCGTCCACCGGTTTCTTTCCCTTTCCCCCTAACCCTCGGCCGTTTGGTCTCCCCTGCCGAGGGCCTCCATCTGGTTGAGCTTTTATTTATTTATGTATTTTTATATTTATTTTATGTAATTGATATTTATGTATATTTATTCATTTCCATTTATAATAAAGACCAACCAGATGTGTAAACTATATTGACACCCCCCCTATAATAATAATAAAAGTCTTTATTTGTCTCAAAAATTACAAATTCATCAACATAAACAAATCTTATTATGCTAGTTGGAGAAAAAATGGTCTATGGCTCAATGAATATAGGTTACCCACAGACCCTGGTGTTCTGCCATAGCCTAAACATTCATGCATGGTAGTTTGCATGTAGTATTAGGTAGTATCTTGTCTTAAGGGGAAATATAATCTCAAATGGCTTAGCAAGATCCTTCGTTATGCCGAAAATATTGCAGCATTAATTTTGAAATAAATATATGGTAAAGTTGAGGATTAATGTTAAGGATTATGTTAGACGAAAACACGATTTCGTAAAATTTTCTCGATAGAAAAAAAAATCCAAAGTTACCTCCAAAATAAGCAATAAACCGCTGTTATTCATAAAATACCTTAAATAAGATCATGAAACTTTGCATACTAACTGAACTAACTATAAAGCAGTGCTTATGTTATTTACTTTTTTTAAACCATTATTTTCATTGTAAAAAGAAATTACCTAAACTATCGGCCTCTTGAAGCGTGATTCCTGCCCACAGATTACCTCCATAGGAGGTAATCTGTGTTCCTGCCACACGACACGGCGGTCACTTCGCTTCGGCCTTTGAACGGGGAGGTTGTGTCGCGCGCGACGACGTAAAATTAAAATGGGAAATAACCGTAATAAAAATAAGAAGCGACTGGCTTGGCGTTAAGAAACAGGCATAAATATGACAAGCCTAATGAAATATTCCGATGATATCCCGGACGTCAGTCTAAGCGAGATTAGAATGGCTCTCCAGCACCTTAAAAACGGCAGGGCCCCAGGCGAGGATGGAATTACAGCGGAGCTTCTGAAAGCGGGTGGAACACCGGTACTTGAAGTCCTTCAGAAGCTCTTCAATTCCGTCCTCCATGGTGGCACTACTCCAGAGGCTTGGAGCAGAAGTGCGGTGGTCTTGTTCTTTAAGAAAGGCGACAACGCTCTCTTAAAGAACTACAGACCGATTTCCCTTCTGAGCCGCGTCTACGTGCTGTTTTCGAGAGTCATTACGAATCGTCTCGCACGCAGACTTGACGACTTCCAGCCTCCCGAACAAGCCGGTTTCCGAAAAGGCTTCAGTACCATAGACCACATACATACCCTGCGGCAGATTGTACAGAAGACTGAAGAGTACAATCTGCCACTTTGCCTGGCGTATGTGGACTATGAGAAAGCCTTTGATTCCGTCGAAATTTGGGCGGTGCTACAGTCCCTTCAGCGGTGCCAAGTTGACTGTCGGTATATCGAAGTGCTGAAGTGTTTGTACAGTAGGGCTACGATGGCTATCCGAGTACAGAACCAGAGCTCGAAACCTATCCAACTGCAGAGAGGTGTAAGACAGGGTGACGTTATATCCCCGAAACTCTTCACCGCTGCATTGGAAGACGTTTTCAAGCTACTGGACTGGAAAGGATACGGTATTGACATCAATGGCGAGTACATCACTCACCTTCGATTTGCCGACGATATAGTCCTTATGGCAGAATCGCTGGAGGACTTAAGCACTATGCTCAATGACCTCAATAGTGCCTCCCAACGGATAGGTCTTAAGATGAACATGGACAAAACAAAGATCATGTTCAATGTCCATGTCACACCTATGCCGGTAGTTGTTGGGAGCACTATGCTCGAAGTTGTTGACGAATACGTTTACCTGGGACAAATAGTCCGACTAGGTAAGTCCAACTTCGACCGAGAGGTCAATCGACGGATTCAACTCGGCTGGGCAGCGTTCGGGAAATTACGGCATATCTTTTCGTCAGGTATACCTCAATCTCTAAAAACTAGATTGTACAACCAGTGCGTGTTGCCAGTGATGACTTACGGATCTGAGACGTGGTCCTTCACCGCTGGCCGTATGAGGACGCTTAAGGTCGCTCAGCGAGCTATGGAGAGGGCTATGCTCGGAGTTTCTCTGCGTGATAGACTCAGAAATGAGGATATCCGCAGTAAAACCAGAGTGACCGACATAGCCCAACGGATTAGTAAGCTGAAGTGGCAATGGGCCGGCCATATAGCTCGAAGAACCGATAACCGATGGGGAAGAAAGGTTCTCGAGTGGCAGCCTCGTACCGGTAGGCGTAGTGTAGGGCGACCCCCCACTAGATGGAGTGACGACCTGGTAAGACATGCAGGAAGTCGATGGATGCAGGTGGCTCAGGACCGTGCTTTGTGGCATTACTTGGGGGAGGCCTATGTTCAGCAGTGGACTTGTGAAGGGCTGTAATGATGATGATGATGATAATGAAATAAGTGTCTAACGACCTTTCTACTTACAGTATTATTGATTACAAACATGTCGGTACATAGCATACGACGCGCGGGCAAGTGGGGACGAAATTAGAATTTGAGCTGACTTACTCTATCCCCTTAAAATTATAATAAAATCTAATCTTTAGTTCAGAAAAATAAAACCTTAACATATACGTAGTTTTTGAAAGGGCCTTTTACTAAACAAACTTGTAGTCAGTTAGTGCCAGTGACTGCCTGTGGAGCAGCCAGTCGCGACATTTTTTGCGGAACGTCGGCAGCGAGTGCTTTAACGACGATCGAACTGGCGGTGGTAAATCATTCCATATTTTGGCTGCGGCATGCTTAAAACAGCCTATGGCATGAACTAACCTCAGTTTCTGGACATTAAGCTGGTATCCCTTAGAGATTTACATTTGTTGTTTTTTGGAAAAAATTTATCATAAAGGTAGGCAGGCGACTTAAAATGATGCTACGAGTGCAGAAAACGCGCATATTTCAAGGTAAATTGTTTGGACATACTCAGTATTTGTTTCTCAATTAAAACTGGTGTAATATAGTGTCTCCTGAGGACATTGTAACAGAACCGCACGCACGCATTCTG